GGAGCGAACGACCTAGTCGGTGCTGATGGGCCAGACCGACATATTGGGTCTAATAGCTTCTCATGAAAATTCCCTCTAATAAAAGCTACAAAAGCCCCTGAAGAAAACTCCGAGAGTACGCCCATTACCTCGTTAGATAATTTAAATAATTCCCCTGCCGCGCCCACTAATTACCCAGGGAAACCCCCTATGGAAGCAGGCACCCCCCGCACAGCTCGTGTCGAAAAGACTCGAGAGGATAGGCAGGGTGCCCACTTGAGTCCGCGAAAAACGACGCGGCCGCCTGAGGATTTGGCCCCAGGTGCCTTCCGCACAGTTAGCTCTGAACAACCAGAGCGAGAGGATAGGAAGGATCGGCTATCCCCCCTGATATCCGTCTCGAGAATATCATCAACATGGAGGTCCCGTTGGATCATTTTATGTTGATTGATCCTTCTTCTGAGGCGAGAATCGGCCCAACAGTCGAGGAGTCGGGGTAGACTTCACAAAGCCAGGGTACCTCAACGACCTGAACGACTTTCTAAACCAGGCGTTGACACCGCAGAATAAGAGTTCGGAGCTTATGGAGCTTGCCGAGACTTTCCACGACTCCCTAGCCACCATACGGCGAGGGAGGAAAGTTGGGAACGTTCACCCGAACATCCTCGAGCAATGCTTCGATAAGCTCCTCAAGAAGCATAGGGCAGCCATTGAAGAGCTCGAACTCCTGCGAGTGGAGAAGCGGAAGCTTGAGGAGAAAATCCTCAGTCCAACCACCCTGCAGTACGGCATAGAGAGAGGGGTGGCAGCGGCTCTTGCAGAGTCGCTAAAAATAGCTGAGGTTGAGGTATGTCCTCCCAATGACGCTTCCCCAGTCCTCCCTTGGCGAGAGTCGCCCGCCCACCACGAGAAGACGGAAGAGCCCAAAAGGGTAAGGACCGTGAGTTACAGCCCTGAGGTAGAGGGAGTCCCGGTCAACACACCAACTAAGACCAAGGAGGCCGCTCTGCCATCTCCCACAAAACAGCCCATTCATATTGAGAACAGCGAGATGGCAGAAAAGGAGAAGAGGAATAAAAAGAGGAACAGGAAGCCGTCGAGAAACGTCGAAGAGGATGGAAGAAAAGAAGAGACGGCAAAGGACAAGGAGGACCCACCAGGAACGAAGCCCACAGAGGAGATGAAGGAGCCTCCTCCCCCGAAGAAGATCAGGGCTGACGAGGTAGAAGACCCTCCTAAGGCGGCAAAGAAGAACAAGCCGGAACCTCCAAGGAAGACCAGGGCAGAGATGGACAAGGAACCGCCTAAGGCAGACAAACCCACCAAGCCGGAACCTCTAAAGAAGTCCAGTGCTGAAAAGGATAAGGTGCCCTCCAAGGCAGCCAGGTCCACCAAGCCGGGACCCCCAAGAAAGACCAGGGACAACAAGGTTCCCCCAAGAAGGCCAAGAGTTCCAGGCCAGAACCTCCAAAGGTCAAAGGCCCCCCTAGATGGAACGAGGATCTGACCCTGGTAGTTGAATGGAATGAGGAAGCGGGGTCCGGGTTAATGCTCGCGGTACTAAAAGGTATCGCTGGTAGCATTCCTGGACACCGCTATGACCTCAAAATGATTCGGGGTGGGGGTGCTGGGGCCCTCATTTTAAAGAACCCCGAGGACAGGAAACTGGCCATGGAGGCCATAGAGAGGGAGCCTGCTCTGAGGCTAGGGGGCCTCAAGAGGGCCAGGAGGGAGCTGATCCTCTTGGGTATCAATTCTGACATCAAGGAGGGGATGGTAAGAGAAATGGTGGTGCTCCAAAATTCGGGGTGTGGGGACTTCTTGGAAGGATACATGAGATTGTATCTAAAAAGTACAAGGAGGCCCTACGCAACGAATTGGGTCATTTCGGGCCTAAAGGAGGCCACCATGAAATCCCTCCTGGACAAGAAGAGGCTGAAAATTGGTGCCAGGATGGTACCCATCAGGGTAAACGACGCGGTGTCGACCTGCTTCAAGTGCCTCAGGCCTGGTCATATCGCAAGAACCTGCGAACACCCTAAGACGTGTGGGAGGTGCGAGGGCGTACACTCCCCAGAGCAGGGTTGCGACATGAAGCCGGGTTGTTGGCTCTGCTTAGAGGCCAACAAGAGGTACGGCAGGAAATATGACTCGAATCATCGCCCCCGGAGTACGCAGTGCTCGGTTAAGGCCTGGTATGTGAACGGGAGGCGATGGTAGAGGGGCCAAACAAGGAGTTATGGAGGTTTATGCAGCTTAACTGCGCCCGTTCGAGGAGGAGCTAGACAGTTTCATTAAAAGTGATCGCCCTCACGTCATCCTGGTGCAGGAGATGTACCTGGAGGATGACGTGAGGATGGGTCTAGATACTCGGTATAGTTTCTTCTTCAGCGAGTGCAAAAAGGCTGCCTTACTGGTCCAGGGAGATCTTCCTTGTTTGGGCTGCGGGTCATGGGAGGGGGCGGTGGCTGTACAAATCGAGGCGGCGGATCTAAAACTGGTCTGCCTCTCGGTGTACATACCACCTCAGGACGACGATCTCGGCAAGCTAGACTTCCTAAATGACCTTTTGGTCCAGAAGGAAGGGCACGAGATTGTGATTGGCGGGGATTTTAAACGCGCGCACCAAGCTGTTTGGGGACAGGGGGAAATCCCAAAGGAAGGTCTCTGGTCGATCTCGTTATCGGTCAGGGACTGGAAGTTTGGAACGTCTATGGTGAATCAACGTTTGCAACGGTAAACGGTGAAAGCATCATAGACTTCTCCCTGGCGAGAACAAGCAGGATGCGGCGTTTGAGGTGGGAAACGGACCCCACGGACGTAAGCGACCACAAACTCATCAGGTTTGAAGCCAGTTGTGACGTGGAACCGCCATCAGTGGAGAGAGCTCCTCGGTACAGCATCAGGGGGCCTAACCTTGAAAGATTCAGACGCCGGTTCGTTTGCACGCTTGGGGATAGCCTGACTGGAGCTGTTAACGGAATTGCTTTAAATAGCATGGTCAATAAGCTCCACCAGGATATAACCAACACGTGTAAAGCGCTGGAGCCTGGATCTGGAAAGGTTACCGAATTTAGAGGCTTAAACAGCCTTGGTGGACCGAGGAGTTGGAGATCGAGAGGAAGAGGATCAGGGCCATGAGGAAACTATTCCAGAACAGTATAGGGGAAGAAAGGATCAGGAGGGGAATAGTTTACAGGAAGAACTTGGCGTGGTATAAAAGACGCACCAAGAGGGCAAAGAGGAAACACTGGAGGGAGCAGTGCAACACCGTACTGGAAATAAATCCATACGGTCTCCCTTACAGGGTTGTTTCTGGGAAGATAAGGAGCTCCGCTAACTTGAGGCTGCTTGAAGATGAAGATGGGTTCAAGACCCGGGACCTGAAGGAGACCCTAGACCTCAACTTGGATCGGCACTTCGGGAACGAAGAGCCAGAGGATGAGATTTCGCTGACCACTTGTGGTGTGGTGGATCCGCCCTTTTCTGAGATGGAGGTGAAACGGACGGCTTTCAAGTTCAGGAACAGGAAATCTCCTGGACCGGACGGGATCGATAACACAGTCGTCAAAGCCCTGGTTAGGATGCACCCATCGCTCCATGCCAGGTTATTCAATAGGTGCCTGGACACTGGCACTTTTCCTAAGGCATGGAAGGTTGCCTGAGTAGTGCTTCTGGAAAAGTCCGGTAGAAAGGGGAATTCCCCTATTGATTATCGTCCGCTTTCTTTACTAGCGTGTCTAGGTAAGGTTCTGGACAGCCTACTAGCTCAGCGTCTGAAGCACTGGCTAGAGAGTAATGAGCTCCTTTCCTCTTCCCAACATGGTTTTAGGGAAGGGAGGTCCACAACCACAGCTCTGAACGAAGTGTTAGAGTGGGTTGAGATGGGGCTAAATAAGGGTGCTTGAGTTCTTCTCGTGGCCCTGGACATTGATGGTGCTTTTAATTCCATGAACTGGAACAAGCTGATGAGAAATTTGATGGATATGGGTTGTCCAGATAATTTGCGCAGCTTGGTTCGTGACTTCCTGAGGGATAGACGGGTTAGCCTCAGTTTTGGTGGACTGAAGTTGGTAAGAAATTGTGCCAGGGGTTGCCCCCAGGGCTCCTGCTGCGGACCTGTTCTGTGGAACATCCTGGTAAACACCGTTTTCCAGGTGGAGCTACCTGAGGGAGCCAGGCTAGTTCTCTATGTCGACGACCAGTTCCTCATCATTGAGGCTGCTTCGAGAGCGAAGGCTGAGAAGTGTGTTGAAACTTCTCTCCAAATCCTCTCGAACTGGGCCCACGACTCTGGCCTTAGGTTCAATGTCTCTAAAACTGAAGCCCTCAGCTTTAAGTCTAGGGACATAAGAACCAAAAGAAAAGGGATCAGATGGGAACATAAGCCGGCTATCCGGATGGAAGGACGGAGGGTATCAGTGGTAAATAGGATGACCATCTTGGGGTTGGTCATTGATGAAAAGTTGGGATGGCAATACCACGCGGAGGAGAAGGTGGCGAGAGGCATTGTGCAGGCTGTCGCGGTTGGCTCTCAACAGGGGGGACAAGGAGGGTACTATCTTTAGGAACCTCTACCTTTCCTGTGTTGAGCCAATCCTGCTATATGCTTCCAGGGCTTGGTGGCGCCGAAATAAAGACCAGAAGGTGGCAACAACTCTAGAGAGAGTGCAGAGGACAGCGGCACTCAGAATCACAGGGGGATACCGCACCACCATCAAGGAGGCCTTATTGGTCCTCGCTGGGCTTATTCCCCTGGGTTTGAAACTAGAGGAGGAGGCCATCAGACAGAAAATTTGGGAAGATAGGGAAGACGCCCTGAGCCTTGAAGCGGGTGCCCTAGAATGGAAGAGGGACTCAAGGAAGCCTCCGCACTGGTTGCCAAAGTGGAATTGGAGTCCTGGAGTGCCAACAGGGATTGGTACGGAGGTCTTCACTGATGGGAGAAAGTCTGGAACCAATACTGGAGCTGCGGTTGTGATCTTCACCAATGGGGAGCTGATCTTCCAAGAAAGCTTAACACTCAGAGAGGACGAACTGGTCTATTCAGCCGAGCTGATTGCGATCAGGGAGGCCCTCAGAGTGTGTGCCGAGAAGAATTTGAGCCCTGAGCGCCTCTATTCAGATTGCATGTCGGCCCTTGTCGCCATCAATCTGGAAAAGGGGCAACTCGCGCATCAAATCATCCAGGAGCTGGAGATGATGCCGCAGGCTCCGGCTCTCCATTGGGTTAGAGGTCACAGCCTCATCGAAGGTAATGAATTCGCAGACAGGCTCGCTAAAGCAGGGTGCTTTAGAGGTAGATCTGTGAGGACCCCTGTAACCAAGAAGGAAGTTTATAGGAGGATCAGGGGGCACGTCCAGGACTTATGGTTGGACAGATGGAGGAACAGTGAGAAGGGCAGGGAGGTATTCAATTGGGCAACAGTACCCAAGTACCTCTGTAAGGTAATGTCCCACAAACTTATTAGGGTAGTTTCGGGACATGGGCCCTTCCCCAGGAGTCTCCACAGATTCAAGATAAAGAGCAATCCTGATTGCGTCTGTGGAGAGAGGGATGTAGACGCACGCCACTATATCTTGGATTGCTCAAGGGTGGTAGGCGTGCAGGAAGAGAGAAGGAGGGCGAGGGGTGCGATCGAGAGCGAGCTGCTGAGAAATCACAGCAAGCTTCTTGAGAAGGCTCACGACGTGGCAGCTGAGCTTTTCCTCAGTTGTGAGTGAACAGGGTCGACTGGTGGCCGCCTTCCCGTGGTCCCCGCTGGACACAGTAGACAGTCTTCTGTTTTGTTGTGACTGAAGGTCACCGGTATATAAATTCCTTCCAGACTCGTCATCTGGGAGGTGGTTTTTCCAAGTACAATATTCAAGCCCCAGCTTGGATGCCGTTACTTGGCTTATGAGTGGAACAAGATAGCAGCTACGGGCATGCTTCGCATGCCGGCTTGTGGACCGTAAGGTCTGGGTGGCCATCTGCTCCAGGGGTGCCTTAAGGGTGTGCAGGTCGCGCCCCGCGGGGGCAGGAACGACTTCGACTGGCTGGTCACCAGCAGCAGCTAGGCCTGGATCCGCCCTCCACCAGACGGCGCGCGTCTCCAGCCCCGCCATCTCCGGTTGCTGAAGCTGTGGGAGGAGGCCTCCAACATCCTGGGCCTCAATCACCAGGCGGTCCCCACAACTCAGCTGCTGGATCTCACCATCATCGGCGGCTGCCGGTTCCTTCGCTCTCCTGACCCCGCCCACTGGCGCGGTGCCCGAGTCCGGGACCTTCTCGTGGCCGAGGACCATCCCATCGCCCACGCTCCGCCCTGGCTGACGCCGCGGCCCTGAGTGTCTTCTGCCGGAGGCTGAACGTCAAGGGCTTCCGGGAGTCTCCTTCCTTAGCTGCGGCTGTGGTGCTGCGCGAGATGGCCACGCCGTTCCTCAACGGCCTCACGACCCGCTCGGTCCGACGGGCCCTGGATCGTTCGCGTCTCGCGGCCACGCCGATCTCCCGATTCCTGGCGAGATGGGCGCCCACCATCAGTCCACCACCATCCAGGATCGACTGAGCCTCGCTGCGCCTTCTTGGGCCATGAGGCCGACGCAGCCTTCAAGCTGGCCCTCCACGCTCTGCCCCATCCTGCCTCGGCCGGCCCCTCGTGTCCTGCTTGCGGGTCCGTCGACCGCTCCTTCGGCCTCCGATACTGGAGATGCCGTTCCATCAGGTCTCTCATCAGAGAAGCCTTTCACATCATCGGGCGGCCCCCTGACCTGCAGGCTTGAATCTTCGGCGGGTCCGGCCTCGAAGACGACGCCCTGACCATCCTAGCGTCGGCAAAGCTGCGCGTTTATCGCCACTTTGTCCAGGTTGGGCTCGGTGGAGTGGAGGACCCTCTCATCGCCTGGTCCAGAACCCTCCAGCGCCGAGGATGCCTTCCTTCATCCTCCATCATCACTTTATAAATATGTATATATTCCAATTCTGTATATATTTTCTTTTATTCCTTCTTAAAATGTTCTCTCTGAATAATTTGTAATATTGTTGAGATGACAATAAATATGTTTTAATTGTCAATTGTCACACCACTATACCACTCACAACACGCACACATAATTTATATCGTAGAGTTCTTTTTTTATATAAAATTTGGAGAAACCATTTTACCTCTGGCGATCTCTCAACCCCTGACGTCATGAGTCCTGCCAAGACGACCACTAGTAGATATGCCTAAGACCAATCGCCAGCTCGGCTAAAAAATGACCCATAGTCAAATCGTCATCGCTAAACCATGGCCTAGGTGGCATACCTATGGCCAGTTGTCGTGACAGGACAAGTTTTCACCAGGAGGTAGTCAGACCCGAGATTCATAGAGGCTTCCCCGGCGGGCGCTGGGCCGGCAACGGCAACAATTGGTCGTTTCTAGGAACTCTATAGACTTTATATTTCTCTATCTATCGAAGGATGAAGCAATCGGTGTGGGATACATTAATTATGAATTTTAATCTTATAATATAATAATTCCGGTTATACAAGTCAAAATTTTAGGAATGAAATTTTCAAATCATAAAAGAAAAATAAAGTTAACATTATAACTCATGTTAATGATATCCTATGTGAAGCAGGACGAATGAAAAAAATATTATGTTCACTAAGCGGCAATATGTGGGGTTTGAATACTCAAAAGAGGTTAACTTTATATAAAACAATCATAAGGTCAGCACTTACATTTGGTCCAGAAATCTGGTTTAAATTTTTAAACAATCGCTGTAAACAAAAACTGAATTCTATGCAGTATCAGATCTTTTTATGGGCAGTTAGAGCATACAAAACCACTTCATAAAACTATGTACATAGTCTGATTGGGACCTTAAAAAAATTGCTATTATTTTTTGTTTTATTTATAAAAAAAATCCTAACGATCATTAAAATATATTAGATATCCTAACAGTCACGAAAAAACAAAATTCAATTTCACTATATATTGAATTAAAGATGAAAAACATGTTACCACTTGATAATCCCCCATACGAAAAAGAAGAGGAGGCAGTTCTGGAAGATGCCCCCATGATTAGTGATGACCTAGAGATTATTGAAGTCCTCCCGTCAAATCTGATGGAGGAACTGGTGGATGATGATGATGAAGAAGAAATTGAAATCGAAAAAGAAGAAAGAGATGATGCTATGATTGTCTTCAGCGGACATGATGGTCCTGTGTTCTGCGGAGCCATGTTGGCCAAGCTGGCTGTGACAGGAGCTGGGGATGACAAGGCCTGTGCCTGGGACACTGAGAGCGGAGAACCCCTCTTTGACAACGGGGATGTCCACAAGGACTCCGTGTGCCACTGTGCCTTCAACCTAGCGGGCACCCTTGTGGCCACCTAGGACATGGCCGAAAATGTGGCCATTTGGCAACTGCCAGCTGGGGAAAGGATGGCCCGCTTCGAGCTCGGCTCTGACTTCACTGTAAGTGCCGTCACAGAATATTGGAGCCGGGAAAGCCATCTGATATGATAAGAAGGTGCCTTTATCTTAATTTAACTACAAAAATTTAACTTTGAAAATCCTGAGTTCAACTGACCCGGTTGATGGACCTCAGCAATGGTCCCACTCCAGAGATACGGAGGAGCTGCGTCTGTGCTCATGTTAGAGTCAGCAGCAAAGGCTTCCATGTTAGGAACGGCCTCAAATTACAGGCAAGGTCAGACTTTCACCAAAGTGTGCCTGGATCATGGTGCCATGATCAACCAAAGCTGCACCCCTATACCCCATATCATGAGGTCATGAACTCATGGAATTCGTGTAATCTTTACACAAGGGGATAAGAAACAACATGTACATAGTCTAGCAAAAATCACACTCCTAACAGATTATATACAATGTAAAGTATGAACAGTGTTGCAATACCTTGAAAAAGGTTGGCTTTCAGCCAATTTAAATATTGTAAAATAAATTATTTTTGATCCAATATACCTTTTAAATTAAAGAACTATTTATGTATTGCTCTCTATTTTCAAAAAATATATATCAGTTTATGTATACAGTTAAATCTGTCTATAGCGCCCCCTCTAAATAGCGCCTCTCTCTCTATAGCGCCCGATTTTAAATACGTAGTACGATGAGATTTACATTAAAAGTGACCTGTCTATAGCACCCCCTCTCTATAGCACCCTATTTTGGTGAGTCCCAAGAGGGGGCGCTATAGACAGGTTTAACTGTATATAAATCTTCATTTTTAATAGGCAGGGGCAAAATCCTAACAACAAAACATTCACTCGAGCAGAAGACACACGAGAGAAGCCAGATCTCCTCTATAAATTGATAAAAAATGGCTTCTCGGCCTCTTAGCGACGTCAAAGTGTAGTAACTCTTCTCTTCTAGATATATAATTAAGCAACATTTAAAAATAAAACTATTTTATTTAATTTTTATATTTTTATTCATAATTTCAAACTCTCTTTAGATTATATTAAAATGAAAATTGAATTTTTAAAACAATTTTTATTTATTGAATAATTTTTTTGAAAACAAATCGATTTTCATACGGCCCAGTATACCATACAACTGTGGAATCGTCCATCCTCAAGGTGTTATTAAATAAAACACACACACCAGAGCGAGCATCCACGCTTTGTCGAGCTCTGCCGTTTTCCGCCTTTGGCGTGTGTAAAAATGCAGGAAGGTGCGCCGAATATGGTATTGGCGTAAAGCCCTGGAGGAGCTACACGTGAGCCTGGAAGTCCCGGCTTGGAACTCCGAGCCAGTGCAGAGTTATCTGTGTGAGAAAATTGATGAATATTTTAATAAGAATCGAGAAATTCCTAAAAATGCAAATTTGCCTGCCGGCGTAAGAGATGCAAATTTGCCGCAATGGACAGCATTGCAACAAAGTCGACTCCAAATAGCGCTGTAAAAGCCCCAAATATCTGGGCGAGCATAATGGAGGAGGAGGAAGGAAACGAGGATGGCTACACCGTGGTGAAGAAGAGGCGCCGAGACTCGGGAGCAGCAAACAACACAACGGCGCAATCCAACAGTGCACGAATCAGCAGTACTACCAGCGCAACTGCGCAGGCGTTCTTCATTCTTTGTGTAACCTTACCAAA